AACAACAACAACAACATATATTGTTTAAAATATGTTTATATATTCATTTAGTATGAACATTGTTATAAACCAGGAATTCATAATTATATTGAAAAAGTAGAACCCTTTAAAATTATTTTTAAATTCATAGTAATCATACTTTAGTGAAATGTATATACTATATTATGTGGACAATAAATTACCTTTTATATTTCATGTGATCTCTTTAATAAACTCCAAAATACATGAATGCTTGCCTTCTAGGATTTAGCTCTTCTCTCTAAAATGTCTCTTGAATAGTACATTTTCCTTCTATCAGTCTATTAGAACAGAATGTAGACTAACTAGAATCCTCAGTTTTTATTAATTTCTTTGAAATGTAGAGGCAACAAATTAAAATCATTTCTTATGATCCTATGTCCACAAAGGTAACTATTTATTTATTGTGCAAGAAATAAAGGAAAACATCAATTCATCTCTCAGTCAGAAGTTAATTAATGATACTACAGACTAACTGAAAATGAGTCGTAAGTTATTTATCCTTTTGGATTATGAAAGACACATTTCGACGTGGTAGCATGGTTTATTTTGTTTGTTCACTTGTTTATTTTTGTAGTTGAAATTCAATCACTGAGCATTTATTTGGTAAAAATTTGGGGAATGATTTTTGTTTTAATTTTTCTAAATAAATTTAAATAATCTCAGTTGACATCTAAGTAGGCATTCTTAGTGGATTTAGAGAATAAATATGAGCAAGACAACAGATAGCCAGAAGCTAATTTTGGATTCTTTCTCTAAACTGAACATAAATTGTCTTTTCTTTAGATATTCTACAAATGCTTAATTGCTTAATTGCTATTCAAGTATTTATAGAAAGTTGAGGATTGTTACCTATATTCTTAAGAAAGATATTAATTTATCTGAAACTAGCATAAATTACTATTTGGGCATAAAAATAACAGGTATTCCTATGGAATAACAATGCTGTGCGAAAATAAACTGCTAAAAATACAATGTTGTTGCTGTTATGTGCCACTGAGTTGCCTGCGACTCATAGAGACCCTATGTATAATAGCTCTGAAGCCTGCACTTTCGAGCTAGTCTCACTGATA